TGGTAATCACCCTTGGGACCCTGGTCCAAGTTGAAGAACTCTCAGAACATCACAAGTATGCCCTAGGTCATACTCTCCCTTGGCCACTTCCTTAGAAGGTGAACATGAATGTCCAATCCAAGTTGGAGGCCAATCCGTATCAAGTTTGAGTCCATCTTGAACACCAAGAACAACCAACAAACTAGATAATATTTCCAATGGCAATGGTCTTAGGTCCAAATTCCTTATGAGAATCGTCGAACATATAGAATCTGTCAAGATGTTGTATCATCGTCTTTTGGGCCGTTGGACTTTGTATCATGTCAAAGTCTATTAGGAACATGTCCAAGGGGTCTTGACCTCCTCTTAGTGAAAGTGCAATCAAGCCCTAATTGTAGGTTTTGGTGATAATGACCACGCAATTAAAGAACTAATGAGATTTATCAAGATGACAAGCAGAGAATTAAGAATCGAGGATGTTATACAAAACTAAGGAACCCCAATTACAAAAGATGACGGCATCAAGCTCAAAATGAGGTTTATTTCGTTTTATATTTTGAAATTGAGTATAAGAATGTCATACTATAAAGGGGGACATAATAAACTTGCTAAAGTGTGCAACCAAGTACTCAATCTTACTCACCTACATCCTTAGTTGTTTAGCCAAGACAACCAGCTCAACCTCTTTCTATTCCTTGCTGTCTGGCATGGTGCGACAATGCCTCACCTAAAGAGAGGCACTGTCATAGTTGAGCCACGGCACTGCCACGACTTAACTGACCGTTGGGGTTGGGGGTATTTATACCTTTCCCATTCCCCTCCAACGGCTCTGCTTCTTCCCCTGACCGTTCAGTTCGACTAGAATAGCTCTTGGCTCTTTCTCTCTCTTCTCCATTGGTGACCTTGAGCTCCCAAGCATTCCTTTTGTGATTTTCCCATTAATCCTTAAGAGAAAAGGCTCTAAAACTCGATTAGAGAGCAGATCCATTGATTCCCAAAGCCTAAGAGCACTTGGTTCGCGTTTTAGCCGGTGGATTGTGTTTGTTACTCTTAGAGCTTGCTCCTAGACGGCTAGAGCATCGCCCGTTGAGCTTGCCAACTTGTGTGGTAGCCCCGGGAGGTTTGTAACCATCTCTTGAAGCTAATAAACCCACCCCTCATCTCAAGAGTTAATTCTCTTGACTTGAGAATGAGAAAGGGTTGCAAAGTCCTAAGTCTTAGTGGCTAACCTCAATAACGTGGACTTAGGTAAGCCTTGGTGGCGAGGTAAACCATGGGATAAATGAATGTGTCACCGTATGCTTGCTTTACATTCTTGTGATTCATATTGTTGCTGAGGTGATTTCTAGGGTTTGAGGTCGATCTACTTATATACACTTGTGCTACTACTTCTAGCTGTCGATCTGTGGACTACATACCTGCAGGAACCTCAATAATTTCTCCGATCTAAGTTTTCATTCACATATTTTGAATTATGCCTCAAAGTTGTTTGCAGGTGTGGCAGTGCCGCTGTTCTGGCCCAGCGGTGCCGCGGGCTCTGAGCGACAGTGTCGCGGGTGGATTTTGACATTTGGTTAAGTTTTGTTTTAACAGGCCTATTCACCCTCCCTCTAGGCTAATTAGAGATCTTACAAGTGGTATCAGAGCAGGTTACCTCGTGTACGCTTCACCGCGTGAGGTATGGAGCCTAGAGAAGGATCTAGTGGTGTGAAGCCCATAGATATCAATCCGGAGGACATAGGCTTGCACGAGACCGACAACAGTGAGCTCATTGCCTCTACAACGAGCAACTCTACGCTCCCGCAACTAGAGGCTACAGATACCGAGAAAGCTCAAAATGAAGAAGAAAGAAAGAAAAGAAAGGCAGTAAGAAAAGCAAAAAGAGAAGCAAGAGAAAAGAAGAAGAAGGAGGAGCAAAGGCTTGATGACAAGAAGCAAAGAAAAGAAGAAAGAAAGCTCAAGAGAGAAGCAATAAGAAAAGAAGAGAAGCTAGGAAGAAGAAGGAAGAAGAAGAGAAGACAACCAATGCATCATCAAGTGACATATCAAGTAGTTCCAAAGATGAAGACAATGATGAGTCCTACCAAGTGTCAAGGGGCAAGAAGGAGAAGAAAGAAAAGGGCAAAACCGACTCCAACAACAAATATGCCGCCGTATCCTTTAACTACTCCTCTATGCCTATGACTAACCATGATCGGAGGTCTTTCATCAATGTGTCTGCGGGTAAGTTACCTCATTTTAATGAGACTAACTTTGCCAAGTGGAAGCACTTGATGAGAGCCTATCTTATAGGTCTTCACCTCAACATTTGGGAGGTTGTTTGCAATGGATTTGAGCCACCAATTGATCTCAAGAATCCAACACTAGATGAAATGAGAATTATTCATCTCAATGGCCAAGCCACAACTGTGTTGCTTAGTGCTTTGAATGGTGATGAATACAATAGAGTGATTGGTGTTGATGTTGCCAAGCAAATATGTGACATTTTGCACCTTGCATATGAAGGGGTTGACAAAGTGAGGAAGGCAAGAATTGATTTGTTGATGGTCAAGCTCAACCGGTTTGTGATCTTGGATGGAGAAGGGCCACAAAAGATGTTTGATAGATTGATGACTATGGTAGGCAAGATTAGAGGCTATGGTGGTGATGAGCTAGATGATCACAAGGTGGTAAAGATTATGTTGGAAGCTTACTCACCTAGAAATAAGACCGTGGTGACTCTAATTAGAGATAAGAAGAAGTTTGAGTACTTCACATCAAATGATGTACTTGGAAGGATCTTGACCTTTGACATGCAAAGAGAAGAAGCAAATAAGAGAAAGAAGCTTGGTGAGTTGCAATCAAAGCTAGGTGGCATAAAGATCAAGGATATAGCTCTCAAGGCCAACAAATCATGCAAGCAAGGCTCTACTAACAAGTCCAAGATCAACAAGCTAGCTTCAACAAAGCAAGGTCAAATATGCAAATGTTTGATTTAGAACAAAGCTATGACATGTAAATAAAAACGGAGGGGATACTCGCTACGCAGGTGTCAGTGAAATATCCTATGCTTAATTACTCTAGCACTGTTTAATTATAGCATTGGCCCTCCTTAACAAGAAGAAAATTTTAATTTACGCCGACCTTGGTCAGCTGGGCTGCGGCAAGCAACTCTGCGCCTATAAGTTTCAAAATAATGGTCACTGGAATAAAAAAAATATAGCTTCTATTAAACACACACTTTTAATACTCATACTTTTAAATAAAAAAATATAGCTTCTACCTGAGGACAGGTTGATGGACTAGTTATTTTTTAATCTCGTTCTTTGAAATGGCAGGTACTTAGGAAATAGAAACATATAGGTGGAATAAATCAGGAAAAGGGGATAACATAGGGTGGGTTTGGATCTTTTACTGGCTAGTCTGGTAGCCTAGCTAGGCAAGGAATTGACATTGGACAAAGTATTAGGTAATTTGGACATTTGGATGTACAGCCATATCTTGTCTTGCAGCCTATGTTTTCTAGCATTTTCCTTGCCAACTCAAGCAAGATAAATTGGCTCTCCAGCCCTAGCAAGATTAGCCTGGCCTACCCAAGCAAGGCAAGCAATGCCAGCTAAGAAACCAAATGTGCCCTCAGGAATCTGCCTTAGCCATGTTTTTTTTTAGGAATTAGGAGGGGCCATGGGCCCTTACTATAGATTAAATAAAAGGTAAAAGTTCAAAGTTCTTAGTTCTTAGTTCTTACAAGAGAACAAGAGAAGATACTAAGAGATAAAGAAAGAAATGAAAAAAGTAACAGAAACAAGAAATGTTACAACATGCTTTGAACCCATATATAAAAAAGAGGAAGAGTTTTATTATTAGCTCTATGCAACAAAGTGGAAAGCTCCCAAGAGAAGATCTCTTTGCAATCCACAAAGTCTAACCAAATTCCTTTGAAGATAAGTTCTTTTATCTAGCAGTTCATATCATCTAGCTCATCATAATGATTGGATTCATGAAAAAGAAGGTGAGCCTAAATGTTCTTTGAAGTTGCTCAGACTGTAAAAAAGACATGTGTTAGCTGAATACCAAATCTCTTTCATTCATGCCAATATCAAATCTATAGGCGTTTGTAAACTGGATGCAAATCAAGATTAATTGTATGAAGTAATTTTTATTAATTAATATATATTAAACACAAAATTTCTATTGTTTAAGTATCTCAAAGATAGTCCGTGCGGGAGCACGGGTTGATGGACTAGTTATATATAATTGCTATGAAGGATATACATAAAGGTTATATCAAAATATTAGAGAGAATAAAAAAGGGGCTCAGATATGTAGGGGCTCTACTCAGAAAGTAGGGGTTCTAAGTTATCTAATTAATCTACAATAAATATCCCCCTATTGACATTTTGCTCCCCTATATCTAAGTACTGGCTTCACCATTTTATGCCTGGATCCACTTCCATGGAGAATTCTATGCACTCTTTATTTTTGTAATTAGTAGTGGGCCCCACTTGAAACCCAAATCTAACCAAACTCCGGCGTCCAGCCAAACAATGGACTGGGTTGAACTCTCCACCTCCCAATCCATAACCCACCCCTCTCTATCCCGTACTATACCCGTTTGCCTGTCCCACTGCCCGTCCAAACGCCACCCTAGAGGCCCGTGGGCCATCACAATGAGGCCCGTCTCTGTCTTCTCTCCTCCACAGCCCACACTAGAGCGTCCGGACGCCGGGAGAGATAATGCGGACATGCGGTGGAGCATCACGATATCCTGTCCCCTCCAATCTGTTCCAACTTCTCCAAGGCTCCTCGGCTGTAGCAACCCGGAATCGGGGTAGGCTCCTGGGGCGGGAGGCCGGCGTGGCGCGGCGCTGCGACAATAAGGGCGGCCGTGATTCGCGACCAGCGGTGGCCGGTAACTAGCTCTCCTTTGTGCCCATCCGAATAGTTCCTAGAGTTCTAGCACTTTGTGCCCATACTTTTGGGTCAGTATGCATACGCAGCACAGCAGCCTCACTCCTTGCGCGTTCGTCCAGGACAGATCCATGGCGGTAGTGACTGGGGTTCTGCCAAGCGTCCTCGCCAAGCTCGGCGATCTGCTAGTCGGAGAGTATAAGCTGCAAAAGGGCGTGAAGGGGGAGATCATGTTCCTCAAAGCTGAGCTCGAGAGCATGAAGGGCGCCCTCGAGAAGCTCTCCAGTAAACCGGCAGACCAGCTTGACATTCAGGACAAGATCTGGGCCAAGGATTTGAGGGAGCTCTCCTATGATATAGAGGATAGTATCGACACATTTATGGTGCGTGGCAAAGCCAGTCAGTCGGCCAAGCTGCATGGCATCAGGAAGTTTATTGACCGAAGTGTCGGTTTGTTCAGAAAGGCAAAAATTCGCCATGGGATTGCTACTGAGATAAGAGAGATCAAGAGCCGTGTTGTAGAGGTGCACGAGAGGCGTCGCAGGTATGATGTTAGCCTCGGTGTTGATAAGCCTACCACAGCTGCTGTGGACCCACGTTTATTTTCTCAGTACACAGAGATTGAAGAGCTTGTTGGCATTGTTGAGACAAGAGATGAGCTAATCAATATCATTATGGAAGAGAATGAAGTGCCCATTCAGAAAGGCAAAATAGTTACCATTGTTGGATTTGGTGGGTTGGGAAAAACAACTCTTGCTCATGCAGTTTATGACAAGATTAGACCAGGGTTCGATTGTTGTGCTGCTGTATCAGTCTCTCAAACTCCTGATTTGAAGAAATTGTTCAAGGGCATCCTGTATCAGCTTGACAAGAAGTATGAGAACATCAATGAAAAACCATTGGATGAGGGGCAGCTCGTCAATGAACTAAGAAAATTCCTTCGACGCAAAAGGTATGGGAGCATTCCTGCCATCAATTTGTACATGAAAAGAATTTTTTTTGCCACCAGTATTTTAGGGCCTCCAATCCGTTTCGTAACACTAACTGTACATACAGTTAGTGAGAAATGTGCTTGCTGTTGTGGTTAAACAAAAAAACAACCACTAGAGCCTGTTTAATCACTATTCTGGCAAGTAAAAGCAATGACAAAAATAACTCTCGCTTCCAGAGTGCTTTTTCTTGTTTATTTTGGTAAAGATTTTGAGTGGACATATTTAATTTGCCCACAGACTTGATAATCGAGTAGACCATAGCTAACTTTGTTTAATTATTACTAGTATTCTAGAAAGCGTGCACAACGTCTTATATGAGCAATATTAGAACTTTCTATCCTAATTTCATTAGTTTTTCTTGCTAACAATAACTTACCATATCTATAGGTATTTCATTGTTATTGATGACATATGGGCTATCTCAGTCTGGAGAATGATCAAATGTGCTTTGCCTCATAGCGATGCTGGATACATAATTATTACAACCACACGTAATTCTGATGTTGCTGAAAATGTTGGTGGTCCTTACAACATGAAACCACTTTCTCATAATAACTCCCGGAAATTGCTATACAAAAGAATATTTGGTAATGAAGGGAAAGACAACAATGAAGATGTAGAAAAATGTCCCGATGCAGAGTTAACTGAAGTATCGGAGAGGATACTAAAGAAATGTGCCGGTGTACCCCTGGCTATTATTACGATGGCTAGTCTACTCGCTTGTAAAGCAAGAAATAAGATGGATTGGTATGAGGTGTGCAACTGTATTGGTACCGGTCTTGAGAACAGTATAGATGTGGAGAATATGAGAAAGATCTTATCATTTAGCTATTATAATATGCCGTCCCATCTGAGGACTTGTTTATTATATTGTAGTGTATTTCCAGAAGATTATAAAATAGAAAAGCATCGTTTGATATGGATGTGGATAGCTGAAGGCTTTATCCAATGTGAGAAACATGGGGAGTCCTTATTTGATCTAGGAGAGACTTACTTCAATGAGCTCATAAGTAGAAGTATGATCCAACCCATACATGGTTATAATAATGATACGATATATGAATGTCGTGTACATGATATGGTGCTTGATCTTATATGCTCCTTGTCAAGTGAAGGAAACTTTGTTACTATATTAAATGGTACAGATCACATATCTCCAGCAAATACGATTCGGAGGTTATCCCTTCAAAATGGCAAGGAGCATCATACTGAAACTCTGGAAACCAGGAGGTTGCAACAAGTAAGGTCATTTGTTGTCTTTCCATCTGGCATTAGTTTGATGCCAGTTGTTAGGAGCTTCCACTTTCCATCTGCCATTAATCTAATACCGGTCTTTAGGAGCTTCCAAGTTTTACGCGTACTGGACTTACAAGATTGTGATCTTTCGCAAGGTTACGGCCTCAAGTACCTTGGGAATCAATTTCACTTGAGGTACCTAGGACTATGTGGCACAAGCATTGCGCAACTGCCTGAAGAAATAGGAAGCTTGCAGTTTTTACAAATATTGGACGTACGGAGAAATAAACTCTCATGCTTGCCATCAACTGTTGTTCAGCTGAAACATTTGATGTGCCTGTACACCGACTTGTCAATCAGAGTGCCAAATGGGATTGGGAGCTTAACAAGACTTGAAGAGATGTCAGAACTACTAATTGATGACTCCAACATGTACATTCTAGAAGAATTGGGATGGCTATCGGAGCTGAGGGTGCTGCGTATTGCCTTGGGCGAATGGAACGACAATCTGGTGGAGTGCCTAGGCAAGCTGCAAAAGCTCCGCGAGCTTAGTGTCTGGGCTCGCGGTGGTCAAACGAACATTGGTGGATTGGACGCCTGGGTTGCCCCTAGACATCTCTTTAGTCTGTCGACACGATGGGGCTGCTGGTTCTCAACCCTGCCAGCATGGATTAATCCATCGCTTGTGCCGGACCTCTCCAAGCTATCCATCGCCATAAGGGTACTACAGCAGGCCGATCTGGATATACTTGGAAGGTTGCCTGCTCTTTGCTATCTAGAGATGCAGGTGGAGCATGAGGATCTCGGAATCCCTAGTGGATTCCTCGTTGGTGCGGATTCATTCCCCTGCCTTTTATCCTGCGAGTTCCGGGGATTTGTCAGGCCTGTATTGTTTCAGCAGGGAGCTATGCCGAGGCTGAGAACGCTTTGGTCCTGGTTTTCTGTACGAGGGGCGAGAGAAATCGCCAACAGCTATGGTGGTCTCGACTTGGGCTTGGTGAACCTGCCATCGCTCCAGAAGGTTAGCGTTGGATTGGATTGCAAAGGTGCTAACGATGAGGAGGTGAAGGAATTGAGAGCTGTGCTGAGGCATGGTACTAAAATCCATCCTAATCGTCCACGCCTTTGGATAAACAGGAAAGCGGTTAAAGAGACAGGTGTGCTTCCTCTCGTATTTGCAAAATCCATTTTATTGATTGATCCTGTCATCCTTTCCCTATCCGCTTTTTAACTTTAATCCTTTTTTCTGCTTCTATCTCTGTTTCAGATAATGAGTGATGGACTGGACTGGGCAAAGGACTTTTAATTAAGCAGCTCCAGTCCATCCCAATCGGCCAATCCTTGAGGTAGCGACATTAAAAGGTGAAAGTGCGCTGGCTACAATTGTTCTCTCTTGCCTCTTTCTCTCTCTCTCTCTCTCCCTATTTTTCCATGTCTCCCAAAATAAAAGATCCTCTGCTTCAAATTCACCTCCCTGCAACCTGCAATAGCTAATGAAGTTGCAACATTTAAACAGACTTCTTTTTTCTAAAAAAAGTTGGTATCATTTGATCTCAGTGACATTTAGAGAGATGGAGGCCCACAGTTTTTAACTAAAATGGTACTAGCACTAAATTGACAGAATCAGCTGTGTGAATGTCAAGTAAATGAATATGATCAGTTGCAGTCTCGTGATGAGTCCCAGTTAAGGTGTATGTTTTGCCAATTATAGTTGAATAATTAAGCTCAGTTAAGGTGTATGTTTTGTGCACGCATGCTGCTAACTTGGAGGTCTTCATAGCCTGCTAATCACTTCTTATCAAACACTTGTTAGTGCTGTGAATTATACTTTTTGTTGCCCTAAACAAAAAAAAAAAAATTTGTTTTCATCTCACATTCAGATTCACCTCCCTGCAACATCCAAATTGTGAGTTAAGTTACAACCACTAAACTGAATATGAGCACGGTTATGAGGTGTGTTTTATGCATGCTTGCTGCTAACTTGGACGGCATCATAACAAGCTCAATTTCGCTTCTCATTTAGATCGTTTCTTCCCATGTGTTGCAGGGACAGTGGGAGTCCAGGAGATCTTGCCTTTGGCGAATGGTAGTACAATTGGAAGTCATTTGTTGCAATAAGTCACTTGGACGTCTGTTAAAAAAAACAAAAAGAAGGTTACACATACAGATTATATATGTACATTTCTCAGCAGTGATGTCTGCTTATGAAGAAGTACAAGTTAGCAGCAACTGTGCACAAAACACACCTCATAACAGTGCTCAGATTGTACCTGTACATTTTTTTGGTTGCCTGATCCTTTTGGGACTCATTGTTCCTCTGTTGTATTGCCTGGTCTAGGTTTTTCATTTTTTAATAAAACCAGCAGCTCTCCTGCTTGATTCTTTTCAAAAATATATATGTTGCTTACTCTGCTGTCCATGGGCATGTTGCAAAACTTACAAGCCAGTAAATACAGGGGATATAGCTCTGCGATTGCAACTCTAGTCTTGGGAATCTTTTTTTCTGTTTAGATTTCAGATTATATCAACCAAATGTTGTGATAATTTCCATAGTTTCTACTACATTGCATTTATTGCACAGTTTGTTCACAGTAGTCTACCCTTTTTGACGAAAAAGGTGAAATCTGCGTTGATTTTCCTGCTTGTGGAATTGGTCATGTTGTGAGCTGGTGAGACGGCAGAGTCTGTTGTAGCTACGAAGCATATTGTTGCAGCTACGAAGCATGCTCTATTTCTATGTGCTCTGTTCTGTGCCCATGATACATTAAAATCTGGACTACAGATTGGGGTGCCATATATTGTGGATGAGATAAAAATCATATGGCAGTACAACAATACCAGCTTTCTTTCTGGTGCTAGTGCCATCAGTCACTGAGGCCAGTTAATTAATTATTCAACTCATCACTCACTGAGGCCAGTTAATTAATTCTTAAGCAAGCATAGTAACTGGGAAGTTAGTCTACTCCACCAAATCCATCCATAGAAAAAGGTGGGAGAGGGTGCCTTTTATATTAGTATATTACTGTCAAGAAGAAAATCATATTTGTCGTAAACAAGAAGTTCTACCATAGGATTGGCTGGCATGGTTGGTGAGTGTGGATGAACCGAGACAAAAGGAACGACAAGGACGACCGATCAGAAGATGAATTCCTACTAGTACTACTATACTAAGCTTGCGTTAATGTCCTTCCTAATTAACAACATCTCTCCTCTGTTATTGCCTAGTCTCCTTCACATCTTCCAGCACTCTTCATGCTGCAGTGACAGTGTGCGATCCAGAGCGATTCGGTCGAGAGCAGCCGCTCGATTCCAAAACCGGCAGCCGCTCCATACACTTCCAGGTGTGTCTTACTAGTACTCCTTTGTCTCGAAATAAATTAATTTTTAGAGTTATCTTAAGCTAAATTTGTTTTAGTTTGACCAAATTTATATATAGAAATACAATAGTGTTAATATTTATTCAACCAAATTAGTATCATTAGATACATCATAATATGTTTATTTGGTTTGATAAACATTTATACCCTTTTCTAGAAATTCAGTCAGTCATAATTTTTTTTTACTTAAAACAACTTTAAAAATTAATTTATTAGGGAGTAGCTCTCGTTCATTTTAGTGATTTATGAGTTGTCACTTGTCATCACAGCACAAACTTGTGCATGCGAACCAAGTAGTCTCACTGATTTGTTTCCTCGATGATAGATCAATGGATATCGTAACGGGGGCAGTGTCAAGCATCATCACCAACTCAGTGATCTCCTCGCCGGGGAGTACAATCTGCAAACGGGGGTGAAGGGGAAGATCCAGTTTCTCCAAGCCGAGCTCCGGAGCATGAAAGGTGCCCTTGAGAAGGTCTCCAACACACCGGTAAACCAGCTTGACATTCAGGACAAGATCTGGGCCAAGGATTTGAGGGAGTTGTCCTATGATATAGAGGATAGCACTGACACATTCATGGTGCGTGGTAGCGATAATGAATCAACCAAGCTGCATGGCATTAGGAGGTTCATTGACAGAAATGTTGGCTTTTTTAAAAGGCTAAGGTCCACCATGGGATTGCTACTGAAATCGAAGACATCAAGAGCCGTGTGGTAGAGGTGCACAAACGGCGGCGAAGGTATGAGGTCAGCCATGGTGTTGATAAGGATGCCACAACTATCGTGGACCCACGTTTGTTTTCTCAGTATGCTGAGATTAAAGAGCTTGTTGGCATTGATGAGACCATAGATGAGTTAGTCAAGATTTTGATGGGTGACAATGGAGTGCGCTTGCAGCAAGGCAAGATAGTTTCCATTGTCGGATTTGGGGGGCTCGGAAAGACAACTCTTGCTAATGCAGTGTATGAAAAGATTGGGGCACTATTTGATTGTTCGCTTTTGTTTCGGTGTCTCAAACTCCAGACTTGAAGAAATTATTCAAGGGCTTGCTCTATGACCTCAGCAAGAACATCAATGAAGAAATACTGGAGGAGAGGAGGCTCATCAATGTACTCAAAGAATTTCTTAAACCCAAAAGGTATGGAAGCATTCATGCCATTGATTTGTACATATGAAGTTTTGATTATAGCCCTAGATAACTTAGGCCCTTCACATCATAATAGCAAGTCTACATATGGTTAATGAGCAGTGTTCATGCATCTCCTGGTTAAATAAACAAAACAACTACTTAAGCTTTTTGCATCATTATTGAGTTGAAATGAAATAGCAGTGACAACGTTTTGCTAGTAGATTTCCTTTTTATCTGGCAATGATTTTTAAGGGACTTTGTTATGTACATGCTAATCCAGTTGGCCCTAACTATCTCATTTTTCCTTGCAAAGAAAAACTATCTCGGTTTAACATGTTTGTACCTTAATTTACAGAACAAGGTGATATATAATATTGGAACGTGCCATCCTACAACAACAACAACAACAACAACAACAAAGCCTTTAAGTCCCAAACAAATTGGGGTAGGCTAGAGTTGAAACCCAGCAGAAGCAATCAAGGTTCAGGCACGTGAATAACTGTTTTTCAAGCACTCCTATCTAAGGCTAAGTCTTTGAGTATATTCCATCCTTTCAAGTCTCCTTTTATTGCCTCTATCCAAGTCAACTTCGGTCTTCCTCTGCCTCTCTTCACGTTACTATCCTGGCTTAGGATTCCACTACGCACCGGTGCCTCTGGAGGTCTCCGTTGAACATGTCCAAACCATCTCAACCGATGTTGGATAAGCTTTTCTTCAATTGGTGCTACCCCTAATCTATCACGTATATCATCGTTCCGAACTCGATCCCTTCTTGTATGACCGCAAATCCAACGCAACATACGCATTTCCGCGACACTTATCTGTTGAACATGTTGTCTCTTCGTAGGCCAACATTCTGCACCATAGACCTGCTATGTTGTATGGTGCAGAATGTTGGCCTACGAAAAGACAACATGTTCAACAGATAAGTGTCGCGGAAATGCGTATGTTGCGTTGGATTTGCGGTTATACAAGAAGGGATCGAGTTCTCCTAATTTCAAACTTAATTTTACTAATAACTTACCATATACCCTAGTTTCATTATTAATTATACTGATACCTAACCATATGTGTAGGTATTTCATTGTCATTGCTGATATATGGGATATCTCAGTCTAGAAAGCAATTAAATGTGCTTTGCCTGATAATGATGTCGGATACGCAATTATCACAACTACATGTAATTCTGATGGTGCACAAAAAGCTGGTGGTGCATACAAGTTGAAACCCCTTTCTGAAAATAACTCCCGAAAGTTACTGTATGGAAGAATATTTGCTAATGAAAACAATGGAGCAACAGAAAAATGTCTAGATGAGGTATCTGATAGAATACTAAAGAAATGTGCTGGTGTACCCTTGGCCATTATTACAGTGGCTAGTTTGCTCGCTTGTATAGCAAGAAATAAGATGAACTGGTATGAGTTGTACAATGCTATTGGTACTGGTCTTGAAAATAGCCTAGACGTGGAGAATATGAGAAAGATTTTGTCATTTAACTATTATAATATGCCATCCTATATGAGGACTTGCTTACTATATTTAAGTGTCTTTCCAGAAGACTACCAAATTAGAAAAGATCGTTTGATATGGATGTGGATAGCTGAAGGCTTTATTCAATGTGACATACGAGGGAAGAGTCTTTTTGAGCTAGGAGAGAGCAATTTCAATGAACTCATTAATAGAAGTATGACCCAACCCATATATGACGTGGATGGCATGGTATATGCATGTCATGTGCATGACATGGTGCTTGATCTCCTCCGCTCCTTGTCGAGTGAAGAAAACTTTATTACTATATTAAATGGCTTGGATCACAAATCTCTACCAAGTACAATCCGAAGGTTGTCCCTAATGGCAAGGGTGATGGTACTACAACTCTGGCAGCTACGACTATAAGCTACCAACAAGTAAGGTCACTTGTTGCCTTTACAGCTGCAGCTACTCTAAAACCAGTGCTTACAATTAGGAACTTCCAAGTTTTACGTGTGCTAGAGTTACAAGACTGATCTTTCACAAGGCTATAGCCTTGAGTACCTCGGGAATCTATTTCACTTGAGGTACCTAGGACTACGTGGCACATGCATTGCTCAACTACCTGAAGAAATAGGAAGGTTGCAATCTCTACAGATTCTGGACGTACAGAGGAATAATATTTCTTGCTTGCCATCTACCATTGTTCAGAATTAGCAATTGACAACTCCAACATGGGCATTCTTGAAGAATTGGGCCAGCTGACTGAACTGAGGGTGCTGAAAATTGTCTTGATTGAATGGGATGACAAACTAGTGGGGTGCCTAAACAAACTGCTAAAGATCCAGGATCTTAGTATCTGGGCCTATGGTGGATTGGATGGCTGGGTCGCCCCTAGACATCTTCGTCGATTGAAGACATGATGGGGCTGCTGGTTGTCGATGCTGTCAGCTTGGATGAGCCCTCCGTCGTCGCTTCTGCCGGACCTCTCCTCCCTATCCATCCTGGTAAGGGAGGTTCGGCAGGCAGATCTGGATATCCTCGGGAGGTTGTCAGCTCTCCGCTATCTGAATCTGGAGGTGGACCATGAGAATCTTGGAATCATCCTTGGAGGACTTGTCATTTGTACCGGTTCGTTCTCATGCCTGGTGCAATGCAGGTTCTGGAACTTTTTAGTGCCTGTAGCGTTTCAGGAAGGATCTATGCCGAGGCTCCAAACTCTTAAGTTCCAGTTCTCTGTACGAGGGTTGAGATCAATCGCTAGTGGAAATGGTGGTCTCGACTTGGGCCTAGGGAACCTGCCGTCATTCCAGCACCTTAACGTTCATTTGGACTCTCAAGGCGCTAGTAACGAGGAGGTGGAGGAACTGGAGGCTGCACTCTGGCATGCCATTGACATCCATCCTAATCATCCCCAGCTGTACATGTAGAATTGCGGGTGAAAAATAAAGATGCAGGTGCGGTCATCACTTCAGTTTGAGATGATGAGTGCTGGACGGAGGAAAGATTTCTTGTTATGCAGATGAAATGAAATCCATCTGCTTAAGCTAATCCTTGAGCTTTGAGTAAAATACACAAGCGGTTCTTAAACTTGTCTCGTTATGTCCTCCAGGTCACTGAACTCACAAAATGCATTTTCAGGTACTTAAACTTGTCTTCTAGTGTCACTCAGGGCCCCGAACTCTCAAAGTGTATTTTTAGGTACCTATGAACTTATGTTGGGTCCTATCCTCGTCAAAAACTCTTAAAAAAAGATTTGTTTGAGATATTTTTCTCCTAGTAAGTCAATGGAGTATCTGAGCAGTACCTATGGTTGATACTATACACTGTCTACATTTGTTCTCTCTTGTCTTGTCTCCTGTCCCCCTTTCTTCTAACCTTAATTTTCCCTGTTCCCCTAGACAGAAATCCTCTGTTTCAGTGTCAGTTTCAGATTCTGATGTCCATCTTAATCGTTCTGTTCTTTAAGAGTAGAATTGCGTCGTGACCAGGTTCAAAGCTAGAATTGCGTTTTTTTCTGGACGGAGGGAGTAAAAGACATCAAGAGCCGTGTCACTGAGGTGCACGAGAGGCGCCTCAGGTACGGTGTTGTTAACAATGGTGTTAATAAGCCTACCACAACTACTGTGGTGGACCCTCGTTTATTTGCTCAGTACACCGACACAAAAGAGCTTGTTGGAATTGATGAGTCAAGAGACGAGAGCTAATCAAGGTACTGATGGATGGTAATGGAGTACCCTTGCAGCAAGGCAAGATAGTTTCCGTTGTCGGATTTAGGGGCCTCGGAAAGACTACTCTTGCCAAAGCAGTGTATGAGAAGATTAGAGCATTATTTGATTGTTGTGCTTTTGTCTCGGTGTCCCAGACTCCAGACATCAAGAAATTATTCAAGGGATTGCTCTATGATCTTGGCAACAGCATCAATGAAGAAACATTGGATGAGAGCCGGCTCGTCAATCAACTTAGAGAATTCCTTAAATTGAAAAGGTACGGAAGCATTTATGCCATCAGTTTGTACATATAAAGTTTTATTTTACGACCTCCATTTCATAAAAGTGTGTATGCACACGGTTAGTGAGAAATTTCATGCATGTCCTGGTAAAGAAAATACAACCACTTAAGCTTTTTCATATCATTAATGAGTGGAAATGAAATTGCAGTGACAACAATCTTCTTTTCCGAGGTGCAATTATTTTTTTATTTGGAAAAGATATATTCTTAATGGACAATTTTGTTTACATAGTTGCTAATCCAATTGGACCTAACTATCTCAGGTTTAAGGTGTTTGTAACTTAATCCAATTGATTCTAATTGTATTTTCCTCATAGGTTAGTTTTTACTGACAATTTACTGTATGTATAGGTATCTTGTTGTTATCGACGACATATGGGATATCTCAGTCTGGAAACTGATTAAATGTGCTTTGCCTGATAATGATGTTGGATATATAGTTATTACAACTACACGTAATGTTGATGTTGCTGAAAAAGCAGGTGGTGCTTACAAGTTGAAACCCCTTTCTGAGAATAACTCAAGGAAATTACTGTACAGAAGAGTATTTGGTAATGAAAACAGCGACAACAGTGAATACACAGAAAAATGCCCGGATGAGTTGGCTGAATTATCTGATAGAATACTAAAGAAATGTGCTGGTGTACCTTTGGCTATTATTACGATGGCTGGTCTGCTAGCTTGTAAAGCAAGAAATAAGATGGATTGGTATGAGCTGTACCATTCCATTGGTACCGGTCTCGAGAATAATCTTGATGTGGAGAATATGAGAAAGATTTTGTCATCTAGCTATTATGATATGCCATCCCATCTAAGGACTTGCTTATTATATTTGAGTATTTTTCCGGAAGATTATATAATCGAAAAGGATCGTTTGATATGGATGTGGATAGCCGAAGGCTTTATCCAGTGTGAGAAACAAGGAAAGAGCCTATTTAAACTTGGAGAGAATTATTTCAATGAGCTCATAAACAGAAGTATGATCCAACCCATATATGGCCTCTATGACATTGTATATGAATGTAGTGTACATGACATGGTGCTTGATCTTATCTGCTTTTTATCAAGTGAAGCAAACTTTGTGACTATATTGAATGGTAAGGACCAAGTGTCTCCATCAAGTAAGATTCGGAGGCTATCCATTCAAAATGGCAAAGAAGACGATTCTGCGACTCTGACACATAGGAGCTTGCAACAAGTAAGGTCAGTTGTTGTCCTGGGACCGGTCTCTAGTCTAATACCAGTTTTTCAAAGTTTCCAAGTTTTACGTGTGTTGGATTTACAACACTGTGATCTTTCAGATGATAACAGCCTTAATAAGTGCCTTGGGAATCTATTTCACTTGAGGTACCTAGGACTACGTGCAACACGCATCGTGGAGCTCCCTGAAGAATTAGGAAACTTGCAATTTCTACAAATGCTGGACACTCGGTATAATGAAATTTCTTGCTTGCCATCAAATGTTGTTCAGCTTAAACATTTGATGTGCCTGGACATGCACATGTCAACGAAAGTGCCAAATGGTATTGGGAGGCTAACTAGCCTTGAAAAGCTGTCAGTTTTAAGCGTTGATGAATCCAACATAGACATTATAGAAGAGCTGGGTCAGCTGACGGAACTGAGGGTACTCCATATTTCATTGGATGAATGGAATGACAAGCTTGTCAAGTGCCTACACAAGCTGCAAAAGATCCAAGATCTTATTATCTTAAGCCAGGATGATGAAAGGAACATCGGTGGATTGGATGCCTGGGTCGCCCCTCAACATCTCTGTAGTTTGTATACACAATGGAGCTGCTGGTTCTCAATGCTGCCGGCATGGATGTGTCAATACTTTGGATCGTCTAGTAGTGGATCTAGGAGGGATACACATGGATTCGGAATAACACATGCACATGTAAACCTAGAACACTACACCGAAAAGGGAGACAGAGAGACAGAGGGGTGTGAGGAGAGTGAGGAGTTTACAGACCAGTGGATCCCGTGGAGTTGGAGCTCGATCCGGCCATCACTGGTTCGTTGATGGAGGCAGCACACGGGCAGCAACGGTCGGTGAAGAGAGGCAACGCAGTGGAGACGGTGATGCAGTGCAGTGGCGTGGCGGCGGCGGTGTTTCCCGTCACTGGCTACGCCCCTCTGTTAGATCGGAGTAGGGTTTCTAGGTGGGGCGTACGGCTCAGGCGAACCTCGTACCGAGAGCCGCCGACCCCACCTCTATTTAATGCGCAGTGTGACGGGGGCCCGCCAGCCATAGATGGACTGGGCGCCCCCGATCAGGGCGCGAGGTCAAGGCCCAAGTGGCCGTTGGGCCACTGTGGTTGGGAGATCAAAACAATATTCTCCCCCTTGATCTCAACTCATACTTTAACTTTAAACTTTGACTTTAATCCCTTTCACTTTTATTTGTTCCATCACAGATTAGTGCATAGAGCATGCTTCATCGTCACGGTCAATCGCCGATAGACTTAACAGCTACAATACACATCTCTGTTCTAAAACAGATTCTTTAACTTTGGGCCCTTTATTGTCCGGAAATCATAGGCTATACCATAAACCCATGTCGACTGTGTGTTCTCCAAACACACTGGGTGGTAAGCCTTTTGTACGTGGATCCGCAAGCACTTGCTTGTTACTTATATGTTCAATACTTTTAGTATGATTTCGGACTTTCTTCTTCACAACGTACAACTTTAACGTCAATGTGTTTGGCAGCACACTTGACCCGTTGTTATAGGAGCGAACTACTTAAATGGTTATTTCTTGTGTTACATACCATTATCAATTCCGGTGTAAGTTCTTTTAACCACTTCGCCTGTCCTTTAAGCCTCATATCAAGCTATACTGTGGGTATGCATCCTTGATGACACCATAATCGCTTTCTCCGGAGCTTTTCCACAATAAAACTCCAATCATGAAAGTGTTAGCTACTATGTGGGTTTCACTAAACATCTCGCCAAAATTTAACATTTGTACCCACAACTATTTGAGAGTATTTATTCTTTCTTACTCACCATGAGGCCTACAAATCTTTGCACAATTGCAAAACATTCTCATCTCCATTCCAGTGATCTATATCTGGACTGGACTTCTGCCAAAATATCCCGGATACATGAACTATGTCAGGGTAAGTTCTTGCTTATAAGCATTCATTAAGCTTTCAACAGCTGAAGCATATAGGACGTCCTTTTAATCGATCTCACATTTATTCTTGAAACACTTTGAAAGTTTGAAAACTATTACCCTTGACTATAGGAACAAAGCAGTTTATTCACATATATACTTTATTTCTTTAGAATCTTCTCTAAGTATACACTTGAGATAGTTCTAATACCCATTTTTCTTTTATCTCGGTAAGTTCCAATTCCTGGAACGAATGATGCTTTACCAAGACCATCCTCATTGAAACTTGAGGACAAAAACTGCTTCTTCTCCAACAGTAGATTAACACCACTACTAGCGAGTAAGGTGCTACCCACATGCAGGATTAGGAAAATAAATTTTCCATGTTTAAACTTTGCATAAATACAATTGTCCTCTACATTCTCTTTAAAACCCAAACTTTCTTATTGTCTTGTCAAACTTCAAGAACCCTTTGTCTTGAAGCTTGCTTTAATCCATAAATGGATTTCTTTAGGCAACATCCCTTTACGTTCTTTTCCTTCCACGACAAAACCTTTTGAGTTATGCCATGTAAACGTTTCCATACAAATCCTCGTTGAGGAATGTGTCTTTACATCCTTCGATGTAAGCGTAAATCGTAATGTGCCACTAATACCATTATGATTATAAAAGAATCCTTGCAAGCTTATTATAATATATTCCTTCTCTTTGTGTAAATAATTTCGCCACAAGTGGCGCTTTATAGCTTTTCATATTTCCTTTGGAGTCACCTTTGTCTTGTAGACCCATTATAGCCTAC